TTCCGATGAGAAAACAAACTCTTCTACATCTTGGATGGCCTGAGGGTGAGTTAATTTCCAACAAATTCTTATTTTTGGATGAACAATTCCTTTAATGTACTGTTAAATACACAGTTAGATATTTATAGCCACTCACCCCACCCAAAGCACTGCATCCTAAAGCAAAAAACTGCATCCAAATGATATTTTCACTGAAGTTGCCAAGAGCAAGGATTGTGTCAAGCTGTTCAATAGGTAAGCACAGGCCTTTCCACTTCTGAAGAAGCTCCTCTTTTGTAATGATTTCTTTTGGTGCGAACTACGTGCAAGAGAAATTTCATTAATATTCATAAAAATGCATCTGCTGTACTGTGTATAAAACATACAGAAGAGTTACAGTGGATCACACCTGTTGATGAAGGATCTTTAGAAGGTCTGGTGTAAGCCCTGTGTCTGCTTTCTGAGTTGCCACTGGCATTTCAAGCCTCTCCTTGACAGGTAGGTCCTGACCTTTTGATAATGCTGAAAAATAGCTGAAAGAGAAAGCAGTTTTATTGTTGTTATTTGTCTTTATTATGTTTCCATTGCCATATAAAACATACATTATATATAATGCCAATCTAATGCAGTATCATAGTACACTTCTTAAAAAAGCAACACTTACTCAGATGCCCATTGCAGCACATCATGTGGCTGTGTCTTGATTGCAGCTTTTGTGAACTGCTTTAAAATATCAGGCAGCTCTGGAGGGATGTTGATCTGCTGGGCGCAGTACATTGTTTCAGGAGGAGGCATCACTTTAGCTTGTATTTTAAGATAATGACAGGAAGAAGGTGAACACAAAAGAGCACAAAAAGACATTGCAATTCAATACATGCAATACGAAAAAATGTCTCAGTCAGCATCTTTTCCAGAGCTACACACTAATAGCCTACATGACTAGAAAATTTTGTTTCTTAAATTTTCAAGTTGAACTAAATAGCATTTAATCTAAACACACAAAAGAACCTACCGTTTTAAGGTTATTTTAAATACAGAATTGTAGTTAAGTCCTTCTTTGTAAATGTGGCCTAATATAAACGTATATGGTACCATATGTATACTATATAGTACAGTATAATATTTACTATTTTGCCATCTTATAAGACAACAGCGACTTGCATCTCTGTGTTTTTCATAGCAACGGGTTGTTTGTAAGCATCACCTAGAAACCAAAAAGTCCTCCGAGATCCGATTGGCCAATGCCAGCAAAGAGGGCGTAAACTAGAGCTTTTGTTGCCACGTCCATTGATTCTAAGTCGCTTGTTTTTTTCCTCTTATAAACAGCAAAGTGGATGGTTGATTATTAAAAAAAAAAAACGGTTTTTTACGGTTTTTGGGTTTGCTATTGCTTGGCTCTTCATCCAATGATGCGCTAATCTGATGCTTTTGCTTGAGAGATATTTTAATCGATGTCGACTGTGTGAAAAAATATTAATGTTAATTAAAATGTTAATGTTTTGTGAAAGGAAAAATGACTATTGAAAAGAGATTATTTTGAAAAGTTTAGCCTTGATTTATTATTGTTTTATTATCTAATATTTCTTCTAAAGCAATCGCTCATTTTGGTTTTGTTTTAACTGAGTTGCTCTTGCGATATCTGGCAACACTTAAAAGCGGAACAGTTCCATTAACGTCTACATTTGTTTAGAATCAACGTTTTTTCATTTGGTATATTTGCAATATACTTTTAATCGTTTTCTAGAAACATAGCAACCAGGTAATGAAGGATTGATGAGAAAGTTTCATGTCCTTATAAATTTTTATGAGCACAAGACTTGGACTTCCGAGAAAGTACAGTCCGCGTTCACAGCCTATGCAAAGTGAAAACTTGCTTAAAGGTCGTGTAAAGCTACATGTCGTTTGTTCCTGGTAGCTGTGTTCAGCTGTATTTGGGTTAGGCTACAGTTTTCTTAGCCTAACTAACCAGCAACTACATGCCTGAGGTCTTTGCAAAACAATGGCTGTTGAAAAATATTTGGCACGTATCGGCTGTTCGGGACCATGTCCTCTGACATTGGAGACGTTGCGATACGTTCACCTGAATCACTTGATGACAGTTCCCTTTGAGAATCTCACCATTCATATCGGAGAGCGGGTCAGGCTTGAGTTGCCACTTTTACATGAAAAAAATCGTCGTCATGCGCCGTGGAGGATTCTGCTATGAGAATAATGGGCTCTTCTCTTGGCTTCTGTCTCAGAGGGGCTTCGACGTGACTATTCTCTCCGCACAGGTCAGGAATCGGTTCACCAATGCTTACGGACCTCCGTTTGACCACTTCATCATGATGGTGAGGCTCTGTGATGTATGGTTCGGATCCGGATTCCAGCTCCCGCTCTCTCTTGAGACCGACAGTCCTCAAGTCCAGAGCCACGGAGTGTATCGCCTCAGAGCTCAAGGAAACTTAATTTTCATGGAAATGAATTCTGAGGGGTTGGAGGAGAATGTTGGACGGAACTGTACAAATTCACCCTGGAGCCACGTGAAAGAGATGATTTCAGAGCCATGTATGATTACCATCAGAGTTCTGCTAGCTTGATTTTCTTCTGCAAGTCTCTCTGTTCACTCTTACTGCCCACTGGAAGAATCACAATCGGGGGCCGCACAGACTGATTATTACCAGTCTGTCCTCAGACAACAAGCTATAAAAACCACAACAGATCTTTCAGATGAAGAAATCACAGAGTTGTTGAGAAAAAAGTTTGGAATTGTTCTTCATTCTCCACTCACTCCAAAAGATGTTGAGATTGTACCACCACCAGTTACTTATTGATTGTTTGTTAGGTCTCTCTTGCTTTTTAAGTTTGTCTATTGATTTTTTTCTCTCTCTATTAAACACACAAGGAAGAAATATTAAATTACAAATGAAATTACTTTGTGCTTTAGTTCTTGTATATAGGCTATTACTCAGGTCATGAATGTAGTTGTAGTTATTTATATGTCTATGTAGATTAAGTTTTGAAGTGCCTTTTCCAATTAATAAAATGATTTTAAGTACATTTATATTTAAGCATCAGACAAATTATGTCTTTAAGTGTTAATAAATTAATAACATTTTGAATTAAAATGAAGTTACTGAAATTTTGTTGATGTGTTAAGAAAATACATGCAATTCCAGTAAAGGTGTGAGCTTCATTGTTCCAGTGTTATTTTAGTGTTCTCTATATACTATTAGTATTTATTAATATTTATAATTAGCTTATATATATATATATATATATATATAGTTTTAGTAATTTTGTTATGTGCTTTTGTAATTTAAATATTTATATTTTGCTTTAATTTATTTTTATTTCATCTTTAGTTTTGATAATAGTCATTTTAAAATAGTAGGAATTTTAATACTTAAACTTATATTAGTTAGTTGTCAAGGCAACGTTTTTGATTTTCAAAGTTTTTCATCTAACTTTTATATTTTATTTTACATCACCTTTATTTAAATGACCGAAAACGATGTTTAATAGTTTTAGTTTTACAATAACAACATTATTCAAGTCATTACACATGAGAGACACAAAAGATATGAAAAACGTAACATCTAATTTTTAATACGGCCCAGGTAATAATGCTTTGATCAACAGCTAAGAGAATGTGAGATTCATTATTCTTTACAAAAACGTTTCGAAATATTTACACATCGCTGAGAAGTTTGTCCTCGCAGACTTGCCGTAGCAGAACGTTGTTCAAGAAATAAAATGCCAAATCTTGGGACAATAGCCAAGGTAAAAGATACTCTTTTTTTCATTACATAAATTCAAATTATGGAAGTACGGTTGTATTTTTGTTTGTAATTAATTTAGATAATTATGCATAATAAGAAAGCTGAGATTATACAGTAAAGCGTTTGTCTTAAGGATGCGCATAGAGTGGCAGCAGTGATGTAACGTTAGCTAAGCTAACTGGAGCTTATTAGTAATTTAGTATATTATGCATTTAGCAGACGCTTTTATCCAAAGCGACTTATTCAGGCTATACATTTTTTACCAGTATGTGTGTTCCCTGGGAGTATTGACCTGATAGTGTTTTTGTATTTTTATATTATTATATTTTTTTTAATTGTTTTATTTTGCCTCATGATTCTATAATATTGTCGTTTTCTCGTGAATTATATTATGTCTGGAATTCTAGAAAATTCTCTTCTGAGAGTGATGTGCCTCATCTTGAATCATTGTGAAACTGATGTTTTAGTGCAACTCATATGCTTTTGTGTTTGTTTTTGCTCCCTTGTAATGCTGTTTGGTAATTTAAGTTGTCTAGTACTTGTACATAATATATGAATACATCGTTTGCTTTGTTTCTAAGGTTATTATGGCGTGTTTCATGTTTGTTTTCTCTGCCCTTCCTTGCTGAGGTGGTGCTGCCCATGGCAGTGCCCGGAGCCCTTGGCCTGATGTCTGCCACTGTTTTTGCTGCAAGCAAGGCCAAAGAAAATAACACCACTCTAATGACTAATGAGGTACTTCCTGTGCACTGTGTTTTGGGTTGGTGTGGGGTAGAACGAGGAGGTCATTGGCATGATGTTGAAGGGTTTTTATAATACCCCTATATTTTTCAGCTTTCACTCTATGATACACCTGAGTCCCAGCTGAGGTACGAGGAGCCCGAGGTCGGTACTGTTGAACAGGGTGTAGCATCTCTGAGGAAGACAGTGGAACCTTATGTTTCATGGTGTCAGGTATGCTGTTGTACTGACAGTGCTCAGTGAAGTGATTCAAAAGAAAATCATGGCTTTTAGAAATGCAGAATTTTGTTAACTCAGTGTACTCAACACAGACACATAAGATGTTATACGTATATAAGGGGAAGTCGTGGCCTAATGGTTAGAGAGTCGGACTCATAACCCAAAGGTTGTGGGTTCGAGTCTCGTACCGGCAGGGATTGTAGGTGGGGGGAGTGAATGTACAGCGCTCTCTTCCACCTTCAATACCACGACTGAGGTGCCCTTGAGCAAGGCACCGAACCCCCAACTGCTCCCTGGGCACCGCAGCATAAATGGCTGCCCACTGCTCCGGGTGTGTGTGTGTTTTGGATGGGATAAATGCAGAGCACTAATTCCGAGTATGGGTGTATGGGGGTATACTTGGCCACATGTCACGTCACGTCACGTCACGTATAATACATGCATATCTTCTCTATATTTTATGCATTATACATTATCATAATGTTTAGTTTATGGTTTTCATGATTTCTTTATGATTCTTTTCCACCTCTAGGAAAATACACATTTTGCCGTGGAGAAAATACAGGCAAGTTATGTTCATTTCTAGCCACTTCACAATCATTATGCTCATAATTCATCACTGTGATACTGAATTAATCTGCAATATCTCTTATACCTTAATGTTTCTCTCTTTCAATCATAGTCTTACTACAAGACAGTTGAGCCTGTTGTGAATACCACCCATAGTATTGTAAAAGGTACGGACACAAACATACACTCATCTATACCAGGGGTTTTAAATTTTTGATGCCACAGACCCCCATATGTAATCATACTCATGTGAAGGACTCCTATCATTAAGTTTAGAATGCAGCTATAGATTTTTATGTGCAAAGACCCAATTTATAATGTCAAAAATAAATATTAATTAATAATTTAATTAGATTTATAAGTTTTTATAGTCCATATAATGCTGTAGTGTTATATGTATTTTTATTTGTTTATTTTAATCAAATTTTTATTATTTATTTATTTAAATTTACTTAATCTATTTATCTGTTTTTAAATTTGTTTTAGGATTATTTTTAATGTTTTTGTTATTTATATCAAAGTTTTATTTTAATCTATTTTTAATGTATTTCAAGCTATTTTTTTTTTTTTCAAATCTACTTTTTTATTGTTTATTTATTTTTACTTTTTTGTTTTTACGCTGTTTTTCTCGAAACATTTCCATGGTTATATGAAACAGCATTGCATTTCTTTTTTCTCAGATATGTATGCATTTTTGAATTACCCTCCATCTGAGTTCTATGCCAGTGTGGGTGTTATAGGATTCTCTGGAATTCTGGGACTTTATTTAGCAAAAGGTATGATTATTGCTCCATTATTATGAAATTACATAATATATCAAATATTCCGTTATTATTCGTTCAATTTTTATCATAAGGTCTTTGACCTCTAACATCTGTTTTGTGTTATTATTAACAACTGTTTTGGTTCTCTTTGTTGTGTTTTGTCCCGACAGGCAGCAGAGTCAGGATGCTGATGTTCCCCACTGGGCTGATGGCTCTGAGTGCCTCCATGTTCTACCCACAGCATGCCGCTTCTGTTGCCAGGGCAAGTTTACAGTTCTTTTCTGTTCAGATGGACAGAGTCAGTTGTTGTTTCTCAGCAGGCTGTCCAGTACAGACAGCAGTAACTGAGGTTTTGAATAATTTAGTATCAACTACTGTACTTGTGTCCTGGAATATTAACAGCACTTGTCTGGAGGAAATTCAGTCTGTGAATTGTGTGTTCAGATAGTCAGTGTTGCTTCCTCTTTTTTCCTGTGCGACTGTCTATAAGTGCAAAACTAGAAAGTGGAGGGATATTTTGAGAATTTTTCCATGGATAAGCTCAGTCAAATAAAGTGAATAATAGACTACTCCCTGCCGCACAGGAAAATCACTGAAAATTAGATGAAGACTAATGAGCATGTTTTAAAGTTTTTCACAGATTTTACAAAATGTAAATAGCAAGACATTAGTCCACTGATGATGGGTAGTATGAATGACTGTTTTGTTTTGTTTTTTTAATAGACCACAAAACACTGCATATTTTCCTGGGGTTCAGAAGGGCGAGTTGTTTTGGAGGAACTGCTGAGAGGGAAATCATCATCCAAGGACAAAGTGAGGAGAAATCTGATACTCAGCACAGTGTTGTACTAGTTTTTTCCTCTTCCAAGACAGTTCATACAGTGCTAATGTCTTGAGCAGATTCACTCTAAATGTCTTAAAGGGGTCATATGATGCTGCTAAAAAGAACATTATTTTGTGTATTTGGTGTAATGAAATGTGTTTATGCGGTTTAAGTTTCAAAAAACACATTATTTTCCACATACTGTACATTATTGTTTCTCCTCTCTGCCCCGCCTTTCTGAAACGCGTCGATTTTTACAAAGCTCATCAGTCTGAAAAGCGAGGTGTGCTGTGATTGGCCAGCTATCCAGTGCGTTGTGATTGGCCGAATACCTCAAGCGTGAGACGGAAATGTTACACCCCTTACCATACTGTGATGATGCAGTCAGGCGTGGCTGACTCTTAACTTTTATAAAGAATATCTCTTTGGATTTTAGACTTTAGTCTTTGCAACTTTACAGATCTTCTTTATGCACCAAGAGCTTGTAACACTCCAAAGAGAAAGGAAAAATTGAAATCACATCATATGACCCCTTTAAATGAAAAGGTTTATTTGCCTTACTATGACGCATTGCGGAAGAAACCTTCAGAAACATAAACTATTGTTCAAAAGGTTGGGTTTGGTAAGATTTTTTTCCATGTTTTTGAAATAATCTTACGCTTATCAAAGCTGCGTTCATCTAATTAAAAGCACAGTGAAACAGTAATATTGTGAAATAATTTAAAATATTACAGTCTTTAGTGTTACATGATCCTTCAGAAATCATTCTAATGTGCTGATTTGGAGCTTAAGAAACTTTTGTATTTTTTTTGTCATCAGTGTTGAAAAGTTGTGTGATGATTTATTTAACATTAAGATCATCCTAGAAGTTGTGAAATAAACACTTTTGCTGCTCTGTAAACTTTTACCTTTTTCTTTGTAGGTTGAGAAGACACAGAAAACAGCCAGCCAAAAATCAAGTTGAGACAGCAGTAAGTTTTATTAGGAGTTCCTGCTTTGCACCTGGATTCTGTTCTCTTATCAGTGCACTGATCAGTTTGGTATTTGCTATATTATTGTGTTGGTTGTGTTTACTGGGACTGTATATTTGTGTTTTCTGTGCACTGTATAAATGTACTTTTGCACATAAATGTACACTGCAGCAGTAAGCAGTTGGACCAACCTGAAAAAGAGAGCTACATACCTGACTTGCACTGAAAATTCCAGACATTTTTCAACAACTCGGTGACTTTTAGGTCTTACTGATGGTTCCTATTGTATTTCCAGAATTTTCTATACCAGTGTTGTTGCATTCTCTAGAAATTTCCTGTGCCACTATACAAAGATCAAACTTCAAACTTGCATAAGTTTTTATAATCTTCACACACTTATGATTTCACAAACCTCATTAATAAGAGTCTGCCCCATGTATCATGAACCTAGTCTGGACATAAACAAAGGGATATTCTGCAAAGTACAGTATTCTCCAGGAAAGTTATACAGTGCATTCTGTGTTCATTCACTATTCAGTGCAGATAGTCATCTGTGTTTTTATCCTTTTATCACTATGACTTTGACCACTATGACTGGGAGGAAAGCCTGAAGGTGTTAACTTATGCATATAATTAGGGCCGTAGCTAGGGAATTCTGGGCCCCTTGAAAAAATATTGATGCGGGCCCCCTAACAGGTGAGGTAAACGTTCAGGAATGTGAAAGAATGCAGTCACATGTAAAATAAAACCACTTCAAATGATCATTGTCTTCATTTTTGATGAAGATAATAAGCTACTGCATAATATTTTATTAAATAAAGTTAATAAATGTGTCCATCAGTGCAGTGAGTTGTATTGGCGTTTTAAATGTAATTTTTTTTTTTTTTCAACGGTGTAGTTATCTTAAATATAGGCTATCACATCTGAAAAATCCATGTGAACTCATGCAATTGTTTGGCCGGTGAGCGCCAGTATAATGAGATGTACCAGCATGACGGCGCGGGCAGCAGCTCTTAGGTGTCCTATTCCTGCAAAAGTAAATCGGGCAGCGAAATTATCAGGTGCACGGCATCCAATCACAACGACATCCCTACAGTGCACTAACTTGTCTTGCAAAAGAACGTTTGATTTAAGCTGTTCTCCTCCTGGCCTCCCTCTCCTTTTCATGACGTTACTGGTACCCAGCATTTTCAGTCAGTCTCATTTCCACTGTAGCTTTACTTGTAACTTCAACTGTTCTCGGATCAGCCTGAACTCTGGTTCTTTTCAGTAGCTGGGGTGGGTCCTGCGATTTTGTTGGGTCCCTCTCGTTTTTTGTAGCTGACTGAGCTGAAATAATTAACATCAGACTAAACCATTTTTATGGAGGGGAGAGAGGAGATATTTGGAAAGCATTCTTAACTAAATTTCATGTTTTTGAGGTTTTCATTAAACTCTCAGGCATACAAGCTGACTTTGTAATATATATCCTAAAATGATTCATATAAGGGTAGTGGAATATATAGCATTACTACTGGATTTAGTGGGACCCTTGGGCAGTGGGGGCCCCTATAATTGTCACCACCTTTCACCCCACTAGCAACGGCCCTGCATATAATCAAATACAAGACGACTTTTTCCTTTCCTTTTTTTAGATTTTTTATGCATTAAATTGGATACAAATAAAAGACTATTCATAATGTACTCTGACATACAAACTACAGAATATGATTGAAATATAAGGATGAATACAAGCACTGTAACTTCATCTCAGAGTAAATTGCTGTTTATTAATATGATTAATACCCACAGTGTATTTAAATGCATTTTATGTAAGGATTAAAGTATTATTTAAACTAAACAATGGTTGTGAGCCATCCCTAGTCTCTCCTTGAACACTTGAACTCCGGCACAGCTCACTCATAGGCAGACATTTTCAGGAGATTCTCCTTATCGATCCTGAAAAGTCGCCATCCCTCCTGCAGCGAGAGGTCGGAAGCCCCACGTCGCTTGTAAAAGTCAATGGATGCTTTGTTGGACTCAGCCACGATGAAATGCATGCTGCTGCACCGATTCTTCACGGCTGTCTGCAGGTGGAAACAGAACTGTTTATGGTTGCGTCTAGATGTGTAATGCATAAAATCATTTAAAGACAACATAAAACACATTTCTGTGGTCTATTTTGAGTTTTAAACTACTTGCTTATACTAATTTTGTGTCAGGAATTACAGTTTTGTATCCATCTTTGTCTTTAATGATACAAACTGCACATACAACAAATGTAAACAGGATGGCTTACATCACTGAGGGTTTTCAGTATTTCAGACCCAATTCCAAAACCTGTGAAGCATGAAACTGGTCAAGGGAATTTAGGAAGCAACTACTTTCATAAAAGACACCTTAATAACACACCCTTACCTCTGTACTCTTTCATTACATAAAAATCTTCAAGGTACAGCAGTTTGCCAATCCAAGGGTCATAGGTGAAGTAGTACATGGCAAATCCAATCACAGAATAACCTGTAAGTGAACACTGGTGTCTTACACAAATGCATTACATGCTTATGCAAGAAAGTAAGAAATTAAAAAAAGACTTATGATAAAACGTTCAACATCACATTTTGTTTCTATTGGTCTACCTATAAACAGTCTATTCCGCTATTCAACAGGTTGAAGTTCACTAAAGATCATCTTTGTCTTGATATTTACCCTCGACTTTCTGATGCTCGGCTGGCACGTCTGCGACCACACAGTGGTAAAACGGGTGGTCTCCGAATCCGTCATCGAGCAGATCTAAACAGAACTTTTGTTGTCACTCCAGGCCAACTACTTATCAAATTTAACATTTGATACATTATGTCATTTCACCTTTCTCAGTTAATATAACTTGGTCTTCCATTTCTTCATACTTGGCGAGTTCCTTTAGAAGGCAGAAAGGAATGCTGTTTGAACTTCAACTTGTTTGAAAGATCTGTAGGCGGTGGGCCTATAGGGGCTTGTTTTCATGCAAGGGTCATATTTGGATACTCTATCAATATCATGAGACCTTTTGAAATAATTTAACATTAATATAACATCATAATAGGTGAGACATTAACTTTTAATATAACATGGGACAGCTGTCAAATAAACTCATTTTAAGGCATATTTATACACTTTTTAAAAGTTTCTACAGCATATTCTGCTACCCTAAATAATGTACTTCAAATATAGGCTACACATGCAATTAAACCGGTGTGAAATCTACCTTTATGAGTCGCAATATGTCAGGCACGTCTTTTGGCTCCGCTTTACGCAAATTAAAATTGGCCATTTTCTTCTTTTACACTTTTTCCCTTTTCTCACTAGTCCTCTATATGTGAAGAGAAGCAAAAGGTGTTTCTTCATTCGCTTCCCAGAATATTACCCTCCGCTGTCAAGTTTGGGCTTCTCCTGGATGGGAATCGCATGCAGCAGCTGACCCCACTGTGTTCACCTGTCTTTAGTAAATGTTGTAGTATGTTTATCAACTCGGGCATATATTTGCCGGTGGGGGAGGGGTCTGGTTACCGTCCGATTGCGGACCAATAGCAGTTGTCCATTCGAGCTACGTCAGGACGCACCGTTATTATTCTCTCATGCTGGTGCATATATATCAGTGGGATCAAAACACTGTAGGAATTTATGTATTTTCTACTGAAATGTAGTTCGTTTGAAGGACATTTCCTCCTGAATAATGTAGAAGACGTGTAAATCCATGTAAAATTTTGTTTTAAAACCACATTTTAGCATTTTTATGTCTCTCTGACAACATTGAAAACTTCCAAAACGCAACGGCCGTAATTACGGTAGAAGTTGGTGAGGTTAGTGATGAAGAAATCTTTTTCATACGCCTTTAAAACGGTTAGTACGGTAGACCGGCCGCGCCTGCGTTACAGGAAGTGAAAATCACTGTCAGTTAAGAAATTTGTCATTTATGCAAGAAGCGAGCTGTTGTATGTCTCACGAAATCATTGTTGTTATACAATAAAGTGGTGAGACAAGAACAAGGAAGATGTTTTCTCCGCGGTGAGTTTTACAGTTCTGTCTTGCGTCACGCATTTGTTGTGAACTCATCATTTCATGCATGAAGGATTCCAGACCAGCCTGGTCTCTCAATAGGACCTTTTTTTTATTTATTTTTTTATACATAGTTTCTTTAATTAAGGGGTTCATACTTTTGTGATTTTACCATTAGCAGTTTTGTTAAGTAAATGTTTCAAGTCAGCTCTCTCCCATGTCTTTGCTTTATATAAAGGGTCCTGAAGTCTGCATCATCCTTAATGTGCAGAGGGTTTTCCACGGGTCAACTGTGCCGACAAGGGAAAGCAGCAGATGTGGCTGAGGGTAATTATTAAAAAAAAATCATAAATAAAAGGTTCAACTCCTAACCCACCCAACACTTTTAACCTAGTCAGTCTAAGGCAATGAAATATTGTCAGTGTGTGTACTAGTTATCACGGTGAAACTTTTGAGCGCTTACTTTCCTTCTCATAATTCACATTAAATTATTGCCTAATTATTATTATTATTATTATATATACACTGTAATCATTATAATAATTTCCCATCAGTGTGTGTTCCTGACCCATTTTTATGTCCCCACAGGAAACACATTTTTACTTGTGAGCAATGGTAAAATGAAAGAACATTTACTCTCTTTGATATTCTTAGAAAGTCTCTTTTCTCATGTGGCTTAATAAACACTATCCTGCTGTTATTTCATGGTTTGTGTGCATGAAGTTCTTTGTACTTTCACATCTAGTGTTTTTTTCTTCAAATGCCTTCACCCTGTGAGCGGCCTGTTCATGCAGACTAGTCTTGGTTCCTTTCTAATGCATTGTTTCTGCTGACTAGTTTTTTTTCTGTGTCTCCATATTATATTATGGGGTGATACAAATGCTGCTTTGCTTTTCATTCCAACACTACTCTTAAGTACATACATTATGTGATGTCTCGGTACATCTTTAAAGCTCCATTTTGTTCCTCCTTATTTTCCCAGTTCGCAACAGGCTGCGGGAGATAGTTGGAGCGTCCACCAACTGGAAGTATGTTACTGTATTTACACTTTTATGTTATTCCTTCTGCAGAATGTCACCAGTATGTTACCACTTTGCATAAAATGTTGTATTTTCTCCATTTTGTTGTACAGAGATCATCAGCAAGCATTAGCTGAGCGTACATCACTAAGCCAGTATCTTGCTCAGAGTCAAGATGAACTTCCTGCAAAGACAATGAAGGACAGTGCAGTTGAGGCGCATCTTCCTCTGGGTTCCCAGCCTGCCTTGAGAGAGAAATACCTCAATTATCACAACAGTGTCAGGTGCTAAAAGACCACCACTTCTCACCTGCAGTAAAGCTGCACAATTAATTTAATTATTAGTTGTGATTACAATTACAGATGCCACAATTACGTAATCGTTCAAAGGAGCAAGTACAAAAATAAAGTCCACTTACATTGTTCTGAGTGTTTTTTTCTTTCTACAGGTTATCTTAAGGGTTTTCCATTATTTTAATTTTAGTTTTAGTTTAACATAATAATACCATGCATATTTTTACTTTTTTATTTAAAGTGGAAAACCAATGTATAGTTGACATTTGAGCCTTAATGCTATAGAAAAGCAATACACGTTTTTCAGTGTTTTCAGCTTGTTTATTTTCATATAAAAATGTGACAAAAAACTATTCAAAACATCATTGTGTAAATTGTGATGATCGTAATTAATAATTGCAATTACAATTTAAAGGGAAATATAGACAATTATAATTTTTGTCATAATCGTGCAGCCCTAACCTGCAGCATAAATTCCTGGTTGCTTGTCTGTTTTTAAATTAGTGGCATTCAGAAATATCAAACTTCACAACCAGTCATTTTTGAATATTCATTCTGATCTGAGTACATTTTCTTTTGCTTAAATACCTTTTTCTCAACAGGTTTGGAAGGATTTTGGAGGACTTGGACAGTTTAGCTGGTAATAAATACATCTTAAAAATATAGGTTCCGAAAGCGGGTTTTCACAGTGATGCCATTAAAGAACCGTTTTATGTTCCTCAAATACATTTTCAGTGAACATTTCTTAAAAGAACCATTTTTCTCAGTGTAAAGAACATTTTAATAATCTAAATGACCTTTTTCCGTGGTTAAGAACCTCTTGTGCAATGGAAGGGTTTCATGGATGTTAAAGGTTCTTAATTTGATCTTAGATGCCAATAAAGAACCTTTATTTTTTAAATAGGAGATGTAGATAATCACAGCAGAATTGGCTGATCATAACTTGCTCTGTCTTATCACATACCGTCTCATTCTTGTCTCTTAGTGCTCATCTGTTATTCTCACACATGGAATAAGGAGCTGAAAAGATCTCCACTGTCTATCGTCACCGCCCTAGTGGACAAGATTGGTATTACTTCTTGAATTAGTAGACTTTTTTTTTTTGGTTATGAAATTTATTAATTAAATTTTGTTTTATTACTTCACAGACATGAGAAAAAACATCATCTACCCCGACTGTGACATTAAGTTCACAGGTCATGTGACGTGGGTTGGCAAAACCTCAATAGAAGCTAAAATGCATGTGTCTCAGGTATTCCTAAAGTCTGTTTATGAAACATGTATTATATGTTGCACATAAAAGTGTCATTGAACTTAAACAAACCATTTTCACAGTGTCATGATGGGGCGTACACCGATGTATTAGATGCCACATTTGTAATGGTGGCTCGAGATCCTGAAAACAAAAGGTAACGGTAAACCTGTTGGTATGATCGACAAATCTATGATTGCTGAATTGTGTCTGTAAATGTGTACTGGCTATGTACTGTTTATCCAGGGCAGCTTTTATAAACCCACTAAAACTAGAGAGTCCCGAGGAAAAGGCAATTTTTCAACAAGGAGAGAGTGAGTAGCGCTTTTGTTTGTAATCACAATTGCTACTTCAATTTGAAGCATTTAGCGCAAGACCGATGCTTGGCAGATAGAGTGCAAACCAGTGAAGTAAACAACAGTGCAGATATAATGATTTGTAGTGCAAAAAGAGCTTATTTAGACTGATGTGTACTGGCTATGTACTGTTTATCCAGGGCAGCTTTTATAAACCCACTAAAACTAGAGAGTCCCGAGGAAAAGGCAATTTTTCAACAAGGAGAGAGTGAGTAGCGCTTTTGTTTGTAATCACAATTGCTACTTCAATTTGAAGCATTTAGAGCAAGACCGATGCTTTTTATATTGATCAGTTAACAAGACGAGGCGTGTGGAGCTGAGCACAGCCTCTCTTCTGAAAGTGGCCCCTGCAGCTGAGGAGAGGACTCTCATTCACAACCTGTTCCTCAACACTCTAGACACACGGTCAGATTTATTAACACTACACAGTTATAAATATGTGCCTTTATTTTTTGCCCATTTTTTAACAATGTTTACCTTCTTTCTATAGAACTGTCAGCTTTCGGAGTCGTATTTTATCACCTAACTCAGTGTGGATGGAAGATGCCAAAATGAAAGGGCTTGAGATTTGCCATCCACAAGTAAGTATTTTTTGCAATACTTAATCGATGAAACTGACAGTGTCAATTAGTACATTTGCGTAATGTGCACTGACTTTCTTTATTCTTTACATTATACAGGAAAGAAATATCTTTAACCGGATATTTGGTGGTTTTTTGATGAGAAAAGCCTATGAACTTGGTTGGGCGAATGCCTGTGCATTTGCGTAAGAGATTCCCCTTTGCTATCTATTGAATATTTACTGTAAAGAAGTCTTTCCATTCCTTTACATGGCTGTATTTGTATCTTTCAGTGGTTGCAGACCAACACTGGTGGCTGTAGATGACATCATATTTCGAAAGCCAGTAGAAATTGGCTCTTTGCTATTGCTGTCCTCACAGGTTTCTAAATTGTTAAATGCATTAATTTGTAGCCATTTTTTCCCTTCAGAATAAGATTGATGATAATACTGTGGTGTCAGGTTTGTTACACAGAAGGGATGCACATCCAGGTCAGGGTTCACACAGAGGTGCTTGACCCATTGACCCGGCAACACAGCACCACAAACGTATTTCACTTCACTTTTTGCGTTGAGAAGGATATCCCAGCTGTTGTACCACAGAGCTATGGAGGTCAGATACAGATTTTTACAAATATTGTTACTTTGTATTTTAATGGTATTACCTGTAACTTAATATTGTTGCCATTTGCAGAGTCTATGCTTTACCTGGATGGAAAGAGGCACTTTGATGAGACCATGAGGAGCCAAGGTTGAGCATCTGGGATGAAACTTTAAATTTTTTAGTTCCGTTCATTTTATATTCACAATATTTTTTTATTGTTCGCTGCATTTTACATAAATGTAAAATATTATTTTTCACAATTTTAAACTTCGAGTGGGAGAGGAGCATTTAGTGAAATGGTTTTGCAGTGAAAGTTTTTTTTTTTTTTTTTTTTATGCATCTTGATTGTGGTAATATTGAACCTATTTAGTCATTAAGACTTA